TAGGCATACAGGCATATGGATTCTATATAACTACATTGGATCCACACCTTGCCTCCCTCACTGTTGCACTCCAGGACAGGAAAAGCCCTCTGACTTTAAACACCACATCGTTGGATGGAAAACAATCCTTTTATTGAAGATAATTAAAAAGCAATAAGGTAAAAAAACACTTTAAAGAAATAGGTAAATCCAATTAAGTGGGAAGATAAGCAGGAACAAAGTAGTCCAGCAAAATCCATAAAAACAAAGGCAAAACTGGGTTGTTGTAGATTTTTTCGGGCTATATGGCCATGTTCTAGAGGCATTCTCTCCTGGCATTTCGCCTGCATCTATGGCAAGCATCCTCAGAGGTAGTGAGGATGCTTCCCATAGATTAGTGGTTCTCAACCCCTTAATACAGTTCCTCATGTTGTGGTGACCCCCAACCCTAAAATTATTTTCATTGCTCCTTCATAGCTGGACTTTTGCTACTGTTATGAATCATCATGTAAATATCTGATAAACAGGATGTATTTTCATTCTCTGGACCTTGGGAGTTGTAGTTGCTGGGATTTATAGTTCACCTACAATCAAAGTACATTCTGAACTCCACCAGAGATGGAATTGACTCAAACTTGGCACACAGAATTCCCATGACCAACACAAAATAATGAAAGGGTTAGGTGAGCATTGGCCTTGAGTTTGGGAGTTGTAGTTCACCTAAATCCAGAGAGCACTGTGGACTCACACAATGATAGATCTGCACTAAACTTGGCATGAATACTCAATATGCCCAAATGTGAACACTGGTGAAGTTTGGGGAAAATAGACCTTGACATTTGGGAGCTGTGGTTGCTGGGATTTATAATTCACCTACAATCAGAGAGCATTCTGAACCCCACCAATGACAGAATTGGGCCAGACTTCCCACACAGAACTCCCATGACCAGCAGAAAATACTGTGTATCCTGATAGTCTTTGGCGACCTCTCTGACACCCCCTCGCGACCCCCACAGGGGTCCCGACCCCCAGATTGAGAAACACTGCCATAGATGCAGGTGAAATGTCAGGAGAGGATGCCTCTAGAACATGGCCATATAGCCCGAAAAAACCTACAACAACCCAGTGATTCTGGCCATGAAAGCCTTCGACAACACAAAGGCAAAACTTTCCAAATAAAGTGCAAGGAATCAGGAAACATGAACCCAAGGCATCATAAAATCCAAGGATCAAAACCATGAAACAAAGGCATTTAAACATGAACTTCCCAAGCAAAACTTCCATGAACGAGAATGAGATCTTGACTTGATTCCAAACAGTGCTTCATCTGACTACATATCCTGTACTTGGGACTTTTATCTCTTCCTTAGCTAAGTCTCTAGCATTCTGAAATTGGTTTCGTTTGAACTGAGAATTTCATATCTTTTTCTCTCGGAGCCTGGCAGACCGCCGAAGCCACTGTTCGGCTC